AGTATGAGTAGCACCAGCACTGCGTATTTGTATGAATTATTTTATTTGATAATTATGTTTTATTATTATTATTAATTCGATTGGCTTAGACCGATGTTCCCTTTATTTTTTTATTTTATTCTTATTTTTTTATTTTATCCTTATTTTTTAAAATTATTTATATTTGTTACTTAAAGGTGATATAAATTTCACAATACGTGAGAATTAAGAAAATTTACTTTTATATTTTATTATATGACAAATATTAATATCGAATGTTCTAAAATTGAGTTTAAAACAATATTTGTAGTTAATAAGAATCTTGATTATTATTATTTATGTTAAAAAATAAGTTAATGTTCCAATAGATAAAACACAAAATGAATAATGCTATATAGTCAACAGTCGCCACATCCCTAGCAATGATTATGCAATAATGTATTATTGCATTAATGTATGAGTAACGTAAAATTTTAAAAAAGAAACTCTTTTCATATGTTTCTAACAATAAGTTTCTTTATATGACATTTTGTGATCTCATTGAATAAACATTACTCGAAAAATTGCAATGATTACTAATAAAGAAAGCCAGTTAATATTGTTAGGAATTTTTTATGAATATTCCATTTGATACGCACATTTTATTACAAACTTATTCCTTTTATTAATATTAATTATAAATAATATGAAACAATAGAAGCAAGTTAGCAAACTTCAAGCTGCCCTTAATGTATGTTTTTTATTGTAAATTACTGAACCCTGAATCTTATAAAATGGTCATTGTGCGTTTTTGCATTTATTTAATGTATATATAATATATATAAGCATTGCTATACTTATTATTTTGAACGTGTAGAATTTACATATATATATATATATATATTAATTCTTCTATCATGCATGTTTAACTTAAATTAAGGAACCTATTATAAATGTATGCAAGTTTTTTGCAACGTTTGGCTGTGTACATTAGTTTAACTTAACAATTTTGAAAATCACGAACACCGTGCCATAATACGAGTGTCCCAAATGCCAGTTGACTTTTAACCATCATCGGGATTACACCGGCACACAAAAAAAATAAGTTGTCTGTACTTTTTTTTTTTGTGTCTGTTACCACTTTTTCTCAGCTCTCACCGAATCGATTTCTTTCAAATTTTGAAAGTGTTCCGTAAAGTCTGACACTTTTATATATATCTTAAATCTTAAAAAAAAAATTTCGGACTTTATTTTATCTTCACGGTGAAAATGGCTACCGAATGCTGTTATTGTGTGAAAATTCTCGATTTTATTTTTTACATTTTTAACTTTATAATGCTATAACTTATTGTATAGTGTATGGATTAACAAAATTTTTTAATGAGAAATAATATTTTTTAATAATCCCTTTTTCATTCGACATATTTTATCTTAATCAGGGATATTAATAAGGAATTAGCAGATCATGTAACTTTTGGAATAATCCACCAATTTTTTAAAATTAAACACTATCTAAAGATTTGCATCGAAGCGTTTTATTTTGATAGTGATTTTAATCACTGTCAGATATCATTATACTTGATTCAACTATGCTATGTCACTACTGTGCCGCGACCCCCCTGTGCTGGGTTTTTTTTTTTTTAATTATAGGTACTATCCATTTTTTATAATACTGTAATAATTAGTATAATTTATACGAAAACAATTTGTTTTTAACCAACCAATGGTAAAATTTTGAACTTGTAAGATTCATAGTAAGGGATACTGTTTAAGGAGGAGTGGAGGGAGCCCCCTCACAAGCTTTTCATGGGAAACAAATTATGGAAAATGATACAAGGGCCCAAAATTGTTGGCCCCTCCAATAAATATTTTCTGGCTACGTGCCTGCTTAAATGTATTACTATTTCATTATTAGCATCATTTCAGTTTGGCACTATAAGATAAAGGGTTCATTTATTTCAGAGCTGGAAAGTGTAGTTTCAATTATAATGAACTTTTCATAAATCAACTAATTATTTATTTATATATTATTTAGTTATATATCTAATTAATAATATAGTCTTACTATTATGAAAGGATGTTTATGATAAGACAAGGCTGTGCAAATTTTCCTTACTACAGAGTTCAAGGAAGTAACATGTCTCCTATCTCTATATTTTTATTGCAGACATACGCTCTACTCTCTACTTATAATAATATTACTAAATCCGATACCACTTACAAACCACGCCAACATCATCGAATCTTGGTTCAGGAGCTGAAAAATTTAAATAAGTAAATTTATGTAACATTCACTCACAGATCAGAAAAATGTTCAGATATAAAATGAAACAATACAGTAATTAATACACACAATGAAACTAAGTACCTAGTCATAATTTCGAACAAACGATTGACATGGGATTTTCACCTGAAAGACAAAAGGAAAAAAGCCAACAGCGGGCTTCATCTCTTTCGTTCACTAATAAAATCTAAATTACCTATCAAAACTAAAATACATTTTTATCAGTCAATAATTAAACCAGTCTAGTCATATGGTATCCAGATATGGGGACCATCTAAACCATCTAACATTGGCTCAATATAAGTCTTTAAAAATATAACAATAAGAATGTAAATTGGTATGTCTTGGTATGTAACAAATATTAACCTACACAAAGATTTAAATATCAAAACTGTCAAAGAACTTGCTATTTTACACTATACTAGATTGCACTCAAAACTCAATATAAACACTAATCCTTTAATTAAAAGAATGTATACAACTTCAATATTTGTTAACCCACCACGTAGACTAAAACGTAAATAGAGTCGAGACCCATTGATATAACAAAATAACGACAACAATAACATCATAACTTTAATACAGCTTTAACTAAAACTAATTGAGATGTTATCGTTGGGTGACTTCCTTTAACGCTATTTATGTTATGTAATTGAATAAGTCAACAAAACACTTATTAAAATTTTATGTACCAATTTTTTTTCTAGTAAAAAAAAAATTTTTAGCTTTAGATATTTTATAATGTAAACTTTTCTGAACGTTGTTATCTCACAAAGGCAAATTTAAATATCCTTAAAGCTTCATTTAAGGCTTTATATTTTGTATAAGTGTTTTTCAATATTTTTCTAATGGCTACCCCCTAATTTGATTTAAAATTTTTTAGCGATCCCCACCATTAGTGTTATCATATATAAATCACAATTTGGTGACCATTTGTAATTAGTTCACAAGTTCTTGGATGAGAAACATCGCAGTATAATATCAACAAGGTAAATTAATCATTTATCTTAATTTACAATATCTAAACAGTTTACTTATTCTTCGAAAAATATTAGGAAAATTAACTAGCCTGTATTACATCTAATAGTATCATTATGTGTATAATTTATGTTCATGTATATTGATTGTATTAATAACTTTTATTAAGTATGGGTTTTTAGAATTTAATATCATTTCGCGGAAATAAAATAGTTATACAATACTCAAAATTTACATATCCATAACATCATTTACTCTATTGTTTAAAATAAGTAGTTGATCATAATGGCTCATATTGAAACAATTTGTGTGTACGTGTTGCAATTAAATGGAGGTACCCTATCATGTATTATATTAATACCATAGATTCACGATTTAAAAATAATAATTGATAGTAAATATGTATGCCATTAAGAAGTATTTTAAGATGTTAAGAAGACGGGTATATTTACTTGGGCCTTAGAATTTTGTTTTTTTTTTAATTGAAATATTTTAATGATAGGAACATTTTATCAGTACTTATATCTATGTATAAAATTATAGAGTACTACTTAAATAACAACGAAGAGTACTAGGTCAGACTCTAGGACAGAAGTCATAGCTTTGTAAGAATATTTTTTTTTATTAAAGACTAAATATTTTTTCAATGTACATCATTTTAATAAAATGTAGAGATATATTTCTGAAAATACCGATATTATTTTTAAAATTGAAAGCTAAAAAATTAAAAATATCGTTATACTTAAGTCCAAATTTCAATGAATTTTGCATTTATTCATAGACACTACTTTATAAGCACAAAATTTGATTTGTCTAATGGAAAGTTAAAATATACCTTTTATTTTTGATTATTAAGACATATTGCCATGTCGGTTGTTTAATAACTTTTAAGAGTATATTAAAACAAATAAATTAATATTTTTTATCAAAAAAAAATAATAATAAGAATCGACAGAAATTTTTAACTAAAATTTTTATTATTAAATTGACAAGAACTTTATTACTCAACAAATTTATTGTTTTGGTGTGTCAATCCTTTTTTATTTGTACGCATTGTAAATTCTATTTTTAAACATTTTAAATTAATTTAAACTCTTAATTAATGTTTATAAAATTAAAAATGAATATTATATTTTTTAATAGCTATTTTTACCATATTAACAGTATAAAATTATATGATTTAATTGTCCTTCCATTGTTAAATTTAGCAACTGTATAAAACTCTTAAATAATAAAAAATAAACTGATGATCGATTCTATGATGATTGTTAATTTAAATCGTAATAAAATTTTAAAAATTAAAAAAAAATATCAGTGTTTTTTTTATTAGTCTTAATAAATTTATTCATTAAAGAAAATCAGTTTATAAAAAAGTACATTTTAAATATTTTAAATAAGATTTTATATTTATAAGTAGGCCAAGCAATCAAGACTATCGATTGAGTAGTGTAGCACTCAAATGCCGTGTAAAGGCACTCATTATAAAACTCTTATTTATTATATACACATTTTTTATACTTAATATGATCATACTGTATGAATTTCTGTATTACGCGTATTTAAAATCAGCCTATATAGTTTTGAAAGTTTTATTTGAATAAATTTATTGGCTATTGACTTCATTACTATCTCGTCTCATTTACTTAGGCCGAGGCTAAAGGTAGCGTATTAGACCACATATGTAAGTATATTTTCTAAAGAAACTCAAAAAACGGTATCCCTTTGTATTGCTGCCCCTACTGAGTGTATCAGTCGGCGACGTTGTTCCAATTGGTAACGCTCGGAAAGTTCAGTTCAACGTCGTTCGTTCACGGGGAAGCACTCGTATCGTGTTAATAGTCTTTTAAACAATTTTATGTACTAAACTTGGTTATATTTTATACAGACAACCACTGAGTAATTATAGGTGGGTTATAGTGGATTCATTAACGCATATAAGTTATTCAAATCAAGGTAAGCTAATTTTTTTTAGATAAACTTCATGATTTTAATAGAAATGTACTTAACTAGAATAAGACTGATGACAAATAAAAATGATAACTATTAACTATTTAGTTAAAGTAAAAAAAAAAAAAAATTTCACTTCAACAAATTTGAATAAAATTAATCATACCAATTAAAAATTTAAGAGTATGTGACTTGGAGAGTTAACGTATCCTCAATTAGTTAAGGAAAAAAAATTCTACAGTAGTTAATTTTCATAAAAACATTATAGAAAATTTGATTAAAAATACAGCTTCAGTAAAAGTTATATATCATCATGTATTACATAAAATGTTCTAACTAATGTACAGTTAGTTTGTTTTTCATTGAAACCACGCGATTTGTAGAAATCGTTTAGTTAAAAGCAACTATAAACTTCCTTCAACGGTTTTAACGACGTGACTTCAAGCACGTTGTTTATCTAAGCACACAGTTAATTGAAACCTAGCTGGTCATATACGTAACACATTTGTAGAATACATTCTATCGACGATCCCGATCATTATTATGTTACTTTTGTTAATACTTAATTCCTTTGGATATTTTCGTTAAATATTTGATTCTTTTACTTCAACTAAAGTTGGAAACTAAAAGTACTTTGTATATAAATAATTTGAGTGGCTCTTTTAAGGAATAAACTGATCGATTATACTGATTATTTTCAAGTCTGTAAATAATTTTATCTCTTTATAAGATCTTATTACATAGGCATTCTATATACTATATTCATTTGGCAATTCATAGAGTTAAAATTATCTATAATTACTATATAAAATATTTAATAAATTCTTAGTTTCTATTATTTGATTACTAGTAATTAATAATAAAATAACAAATTATTTTATTAAATTTTTCATAGTATTAGTATAATAAAAAATTGTATTAAATGAAAATTTTATCATGAAGTTTTAAGGTCAATTTCATTCTTCAAAAAACATTGAATTATTCATATTATTGTTTAATGATAATCTTTTAATTTTACTTCCTTTAAACATCATAAAATAAGAGAAACTTTTAAAACTTTTGAATAACAGTTTATTATTTTTAATCAGCTCTTTATAATAATGTTTAACTTATAAAGTGCTTGAAGGAAGAAATTGATTTTATTAATGGAGTTAAGAACTTATTGATAATTAAATGTCTGTATGTATTATAAATATATTTGCAAGCTGCATGACAAAATATTTCAGTTTTTTTAATCAAAAAATAAAATTATTCATTAAATCGTTTTGTCACATTAATGTAACATAATAATATTATTATGATGACACTGTGTCGTATAACTGCCAAAATTGTTTGTCAATAAAATTTAAAGTATAAAGTAGAAAATTATTGCTGAAAAATAAGATAATTGTATTTAGCACTGAACTGCATTTTCTAATAAACGATGTCTAAAAAGTTTACAAATTATTTATGTTTAAAACATGAAAATCCGCGTTATGCGGCCGCAAAGAAACAACTTTTCCACGCCTTTACTTTAACACGTATAAATTGCAATAGTTCGTAAAACTCAGAAAAGAAACAAAAACAAAAATAAAGTCATAAAAAATTGTGTTGGTCAAAGGCCTTCAGGTTTATTTAGCTTAATCACGCGATATTATTTGACAGCAATGGGTAATGTTCTAGAGTCATATGTTTCATCAGATTGAAATGACATTAAAAAATCAGTTTTTGTTTACAGGCGATTATTTAAATTTTAAAACTTTAAGGGTACTAAAATATTAAAAGAAAAATATTAAATTAAGTAATTTATTTTTTTATTTTTTTATGTATTTTAAGTTAATCTATCTAATTTGTATTTTTATCAATAGGATTATGATATGACAAATACAAATAAAATTTCAATGTTTATCAATGAACATTGTATAAGGCTTAAATACTAAAATAATAACAAGTCTGTTAAAAAAAAAAATATTTCATATACTATGCAATAGCAACCATTTGAAATTATCCATAAATCATCAAGATTTAGTTTTAAACAATACTTTATTATAAAAAAATATTGAAGTAAGTTATTAAAAGAATTTAGAGTTTTAAAATAAACTTCTATGAGACATGAAAAAATCGTATAGATTCAAATTATGAATTGTTTATATACGTTATGGAAATAAAGTTCTAAAAGAAAAATATATCACGATGAACAATAAAAAAAAGTATTTCGGTTAGTATGCTACAAGTAATTTATTTAGGTATTGGATGCAATCAAATATGATAGTATATTTATTAAAACATAATTTTTTTTTGAGTTATGTTAATAACATTTATTTGGTTTTAAATATTTCTTGAAAATACCGAGTTCTATGAATTTATTTTCTTTTGACGCTTTTATTCTTTTTATTTGTCCCTAAAGAATATATTATATACTTATACATTTTTTAAAGGTAAAAAAGATATTTTTGTTTAGAAACATATGAAAGTTACTAAATTGAGTTTGGTTTTTGGAAACACTGTTTGTTAAAAAAGATTAGTAATAAATTTCGTTAGAATTATATAAGACAAATTTTCACGGCAAGTAATGAGACCTTTATGTTTTTAGTGGTACCGGTTTGGTTTAAGTCTTAGATTTTTTTTTTTTTTTTTTTGGACCTAGATTACAGACAGGTTTTTAGAAAATCAAAATTTTAGGTTTCGGTTAAAAACCGGTCATAACAGGTAATAACCTTTTTTTAACATTTTAAATTATACATTTTTGGTAGGAGAATATTTAACAAATTTAATTACGATTTATCCACTTTAGACAATACATAATAGAAAATTCTTCATACGTTTTTAATAATGTTTGTAGTTAATTCATAATAATACCATAATATATTTAACTTCGAAATCATATTTGAATTACGACTTCTCATCATGAAATTCTATTTTAAATTAAAAAAATATTTTTTTAAGCTATAAAGACTTTTTGTCTAATAACAAATAGACGTAAGACTCATCAAAGTAGCTCTAAGTTACTTGTAACTTGGAGATAATTAAATAAATATTTAAGTAAACATACTTTTTACACTTTCTATGAACTAATACCTAAAAATAATTAACTCTGCGATCTCAATTAAATTATGGTGGATGTTGTAATACTTCCCACTTGTATTTTTTCAGCCAAGCTTTGGTTTTTCCCGCTGAATGTGGGGTGGCATTGTCATGCAGCAGTTTCACATTTCCCGAGTGTAATTGCCCTAAAACGAATTTTTTCTTTCAATTTTTCTAACGTTTCAATATATCGATTAGCATTAATTGTTTCATTTTTTGATAAAAATTCAATCAGTAAAATAACGTGCTTATTGGTCGACCACTTCTTGCTTCATCTTCAACACTTTCTCGACCCAAATTAAATTTTGAACACCAAACCGACACATTTTTTCGTGACATTACATTTGGGCCATAAACTTCAGTTATTTTTCTATGAATTTCAGTCGGAGAAACATTTTGAAAATTTAAAAATCGAATTACGGCGCGGACTTTTTCTTTTGAGCAACTTAAATATTGGTTTTTCATGTTAATACTTTCGCTGCAGACGTAACACTTAATTATTATAGCCATGACTAATAAAATATATTGCTTGTTATCTAAATTATCAATGCTAAAAATTTCCAGTCGAAATTCCCCATTGTTAATGCTAAAAATAACTTTGTACCTTATTTATCGGACAGCCTACGTATTTCATATGCACTAAAACATTTATAATAATGTGAGATTAAGGCCAGTCAACAAAGGAGTAACTTTGGCAAATGGTGGAAAAAATTCCCAACCAAATTTTTTCCGCCATTTTTCCTTTATTGACTGGCCTAATTCGGATTAATTGTAAAACAGTTAATATTAAATAAAATGTTATTTAAAATAAAACAACATATTTTATAACAAGATATGTTAACTTTTACAAAGCCTTGAATAAGATTAACAAGGAAAATAGTATTTTTGATTCATTAATTGTTATTCTATGTAATTTAAGTTCAGAAAATATCAGGTTTCTCGTGGTCTCGTAATACCATCTTCCAACATATTTGCTAATTATGTTTTCACAAACATATATTTAAAACCATAATTTTTTATTGAATAAACTATATTGAAATAACTTACGTACTTCAATTTTTTTAAGAAAAAAATTAATTGTTTAATTATTTTTTCATCAATTAAATTCAACTATTCAATTGTTAGATTCATAAATATTTATTTTAAGTGATAAATAATTGTACACTAAATTTTTTAACGATTAATTTTATACTAAAATATCAACTATAATAAAGTATTTACATGATAGAACAGTGTTCCCTGAACTACTACAAATTTCTTTTGTGGTAAATTAAACATTTTTTACTAAATTCGTGTATGAATTTTAATATGAATAATGGGACAAATTGACATTTCTTTTGAATACTGAATACAAGATACTTCAATGAAAATATTTAATTTAAAAGTTATCTTGTACTTTTTCTTTTCCATATTATCATTTTTAACAGTAGCTTTTGTGTGTACACATAATGACATTCTTTGGTAGCGAATAGTCTCACTAAACAGCATAATATGTTATTGACACTAAAGCTTATATAAAGTACAAAATCATACATACATAAACAAGAAAAATATATAATTTATGGTTTGTGAATCAATTTTGGTTAAAGTTAAGTCAACTGAATTATATTTTAAATATAATTATTAAATTGTTTACTGTAATATACTACAAAACAGGATCAATTAATATATTAGCTGTTCTAGTACTCTAAATTATTACCCGGATAAATATTAAAATATGTATTAAAATAAATTGAAGAGATTTATTGAATACTTTTAATTTATTATTTCAATACAAATTTAAAAAGAAAACGTCTCTGAAAATTTGACGTTTTATTTTGCTTATGCAAATAATACTTTTATATTTATTTTATGGAAACAAACTATAAATTATACAACTTATAACATAAACTTATAATATAAAATCTGCACAAATATATTGTATTAAATTATCAAAAATTTTT